GGCTATCTGTGCTCTGCCCACCATGGATATCGAAACCCGGTTTGTAGCGTTATAAGTCCGCAGACATACCGCTGTGCCACTGGGGGGGGGGGGTATTTCAGTTAACTGTGAGGTTAGGGCATACCATGGGGTGGGGGGTAGTAGTTCTTGTCCCGTCATTTTTGACGGGCTATAATCTAATATAGAATATAATTAAATACTGAGTGATCAGAGAAATACGTGTACACGTTTCATTTTCTCTAGTTATAAGAATAGAACTGGATTCCTTCATCTGAATAATTGTTTCTTGCCTTAAGTTAAACCTCGCTTTGTGAACAAGCAATTAATAAACCTTGAAAAACATGATTCACCGCTAGACGCACGAAAATTAAATAAAAATAAAACTCGTTGCAACATGTCTAAACCAGTACGGTCTAAGTGATAAACCAAAAGTAGTTTGATTTTTCGATAAATTAGTAATTTAATCAAACCTGCCAAATAATGCCTACATATCTGCTTCGTAGCTTCGAAATCAAAATAAGAACCTGTTTAACTTAAAAGATACAAATCAAACTGTTCTTTTCTCGTGGTTACTTTGTTTGATTTGGTTTTATATAACACCACTACTGTATTTGTGTGTTAAGCCTATTTGAAACCACTGGAACTGGATTTTGAGTTGTCCTTAAGATCTCTTGTTTATTGAAGCGGTTTTCATTCTCGTACAAGAAACTAATAAACACTAATTATTCTAGAACATTCCGCGTCTGTAGAAGTAGGCCACGTTCGTATTAATGATTCTCTAATAACATAGGCCTGCGATGGTTTTATTGTCTTGAAATTTTTACACGTTCTACTGTAATTCCTGTACGCTGAATGATATCCATTTTCTCCATTACGTACAGATTTTTCACAAACATCATAACGCAATACATAAAAGAAAGACAGCAACACGTAGTTTTGAGACTAAAAGACGTATATTTCACAAAAAATCAGGATGAACGAGGATGCATATACGTTTGACATCAATGTTCTTCCCTTTTCTTCAGTTTCTTTATATTTTTGTTAACAAACATAATAATAAAAAATGTTCATTGGTAAACGAAATAATAATAATTTGATCTAAATAAGAGTTTTTTATTCCCGATTTGTAAACAGTCCTTACGTGATAGAAAAAATTAATATTATTTTCAAAATCTGCGTAGGTGAAGTATAGAAAATACGTTATTAAAGCCAAAACAACTTTTATGAAGTTTAAATTCGCAGGCTTTTGTAATTAGATGAAGTGATATAAAGATACGGGTAGATGTGCAAAAGATTTCACCGGATATGACGTGTAAAGGAACACTTAAGCCTACTGTATATGTCGTGTAATGGAACACTTAAACCTACTGGATATGATGCGTTCCACACTTACCTGCAGAAATAAGCTTTCCTTCAGAAAACATTTGTATTTGATTAGCATAAAGTTCGACGTTTTCTTTATTGTTTAAAGTTGGTTCCTGGGGAGTTTCTGAAGACAGACGCACGATGTCGCCACTATCTACATGCTTTTCAACTATGATATCTGGAGTGAGTCCTGGCACGCTTCGTCGAGCCCGACGTCCTTCTTCATCACCGGATCTGAAACATTTTAAATTACATCCTAAGAAAAGGAAAAGTTGACGACCATTTGTGAAACTGTGATTTAAAGAAATGAAAGGTTACTAATTACTTTCTGAATACAATACAGTTACGGTATTCATACACCGATTAACTTAACTTGCATCACTTTGAAGATAAACGTTTATCAGTACATGGTATAGTTTAAGTTTCTTATATTTAGATGACTCAAAAATCACATGAACCTCCAGTCATCGCATGTCGTAAATAAATACATTTATCTTCCACATCCACAGCCTAAAAGGACTATTTACTGTTATTTTTTATAGGCTAAAAAGACTATTTACTGTTATTTTTATAGGCCAAAAGGACTATTTACTGTTATTTTTATAGGCTAAAAGGACTATTTACTGTTATTTTTATAGGCTAAAAGGACTATTTAGCTGTTATTTTTATAGGCTAAAGGACTATTTATCCTTTTAGCCTATAAAAATAACAGCTATTTGCTGTTATTTTTATAGGCTAAAAGGACTATCTGCTGTTATTTTTATAGGCTAAAAGGACTTTTTACTATTATTTTTATAGGCTAAAGGGACTATTTACTGTTATTTTTATAAGCTAAGGGGACTATTTGCTGTTATTTTTATAGGCTAAAAGGACTATCTCTATTATTTTTATAGGCTAAAGGGACTATTTACTGTTATTTTTATAAGCTAAGGGGACTATTTACTGTTATTTCTATAGCCTAAAAGGACTATTTACTATTATTTATAGCCTAAAAGGACTGTTTGTTGTTATTTTTATAGGCTAAAAATACTATTTGCTGTTATCTTTATAGGCTAAA